AATATATGTAATTATATTAGATTAGATTCTTGAATGCAACCACCCATATATATATATATATATTCTTCAATTTGGTCTTTTGCTATAATCTGGGGGGCCCACTTCCTCCCTACCCCCAACACCCTGAAGTCTTTTTCAATACTCCATATTTCATATGGTTTCTTTCCATTACCCTTGGACTTGGAATAGGTATTAAAAGTTTGATATACGCTATTCTAGGGGGGAGAAAGTTGCCAGAAAATCTGGGATTTTTGCCTTTTCTGAATTTTCTTTTCCTATTTTTTTTCAAGAACATTTTCTTTTTTTTTTTATAATTTTTCAAGTGCCCGTAATAGTCAATCCTGGATGTCAAATCCACAGATCTTATCCCTGGTGATATCTCATCTGGTTGACATCTCTTGAGAAATTCATATCCTGTTACAACCATACAGTATAATTATTAGCAATCCCACCATAGAGGTTTGAGCATTCAAAAAGTAGAAATATATAAAAAGAATGAAAATAATACTATATATAGTACTCTAATACATTTGAGCATCCCCGCGGTGGACCATTTGGTTATTTGTTTGTGATAGAGATAGCTCAGCCATTAATACTTTTTTAATGTTTATCATCAATTTTTTCCATACATTGTAAACTTTCATCATTTGAAGAATCAATAATAGGTACTTCAGTTTGTTTCATGTTAAAAGGGTTGGAACCATCATTATTTGATTCTGCTAATTAGCATCATTAAAAGAATACTATATAAATTAAGCTTTGCTGTCTTTATCAGATGCAAGACATGTGTTTCATGTTGATCCTAAACAATACCTAATCATTGGACCTCTAACCGAACCCCCTATAATATCTTCTCTCTTAATTCAAGAATACGTAAAGTAAACCAAGTCTCTTATTTTATAGTAAGAAATTTGACAAAAATGAGATGACTAATATTAGTAATACAAAAAAGAATTAATAACGAATTGTCACTTTCTAAACTTAAAAATATTTGGAGATTATATTCAACTAGCCTAAGCATATCTTTGGGAACTTTCAAGAATAATTCAATCAGATGAGGTTTGATCTTTTGCTTTTTATTGTTGCCAAAACAGGGTTTCGAGCAGATATCGATATTATTTTGTCTGTTTAAACTTAATTTTGCTAGCTAGATATGAAAGTTAGGGTCCAAAAGTTTTCAACCCTAGAAAGAGGGGTGGAAGGAAATAGTGTTGAGATTCAATCAATCACATAAACGTTAAGTGTATTGTCACTTTCCAAGCTAAAATGGTCCATAGCAAAGTAGCTTAAGTCATTGATATGTTTGGTACTATTTCAAGATATTCTTGAGGGCAAAGAGGTTGGTTTGGTTGTAAAGTAGTAGTAGATTCTGGTGGTGACTAGCAAAGTTGACTATATAACATGTTATGTTTAATTTTACTAAAGGTGGCTAGCAAAAAGGCTATTCATCTTGACCCTCTTTTCTATTTGAACTAAATAATATTTCTTTTAGGTTCATTGTAGTTTGCTAGCTTTCAACTTTTTAAAATTGCAACTATAGGGGTCTGGACCACATACAAACCCATCCAAAAAGAAAATAAAAAAGAAAAAGGGAAAATCAAGTAGGTCACATGAAATGGTTGACATGATAACATACTATATTTATCGAAAGACATGCCACTCTTAGCCATCATTTTATAAAATGACTTCCCAGGTATTCTCCTTTCACACGACTCGACAGGTGTTAAAAGAAAAAGGAACAAAACCTTTTGTTTGGAAACTAGGAGAGGAAGGAAAAAGGTAAAGAAAGAAAACAAAATTTACCCCAAAAACTTTTACTTTCATTTTTCTTTTTACATTTTCACCCTCCCTAAATCGCTAGAAAATATTGAATTCAAATTATTCTTTATTTTCGACATCCTGATTCTTTTTATAAACTTTTGGCCCTAACATCTTTTTCTCCAGCATATATACTAGCCCATTGACACATAACTTTCCGTACGCATAATATTCTTGTTGAAAATGACACTGTTGAAGGTAGTTCACATTCATACTTGTTCTTTTAACCATCCGATACACAAAATTTCTTGGTATAGTTTTCATAAAAGAAAATAACAGAGGATAAAATCTTTGTTATCCACCCAATAATACAGTCTACATATATCATTACTGAATTTGTTTTGGGTCTTAAGAGATATTTTAGTTGAGAAAGTGGTTTACTTGTTGAGCAAAACAAAGCAAACTAGGGTAGTTAACACAAGTTCCAAAAATGCCTACATGTTGTTTTCAACTACTGGTGGCAAATTTGAGTTTGCTTCCAGAAAAGAACATTACTTGTTCAACTGGACTACTTAATTACTAAAAGCGTAAGATTTTGTTTTTTTCCTTGACCTTTACTATGACCTTTTTCTGGCTTAACTAATCCACTTGTTAGGCAGATAGTAGTATTTTTTAGAATTAAATATAAACTAGCTAGCTAGGGTAACTGTAGAGATTGTATCTATCTGTCTCAGTAAAGGAAACAGGGAAATCATAGTGGGAAATTGGGACTAGTCACATCTTTAACCATATTCTTAGTCTAAAAAGAAAAAGGAAAGTTTGAAAACAACACCTTTCATTGATAAAATAAAGAGTGTACCATGTGATAGGAAGAGGCAGCAACATGAGGCTTTGAGTGCTGAAATTGGTATTGGTAATAGTGTTGGCTGGCTTGACCCTGACCTTGGTGGCTAGACGTGGAAGACCCACCGCCATCTGGGGTTGATGGTGGCTTCGACCACGACGGCTCGTCGGCCTCGCATTCCAAGTTAACCCCAAACAACCTCACTTGTCTTCTTGTGTTATTCACACTTGCTGTTGTTTGGTTCTGCAATACTCCTCTTCCTATATGTCACACACCAAATAAATAAACACTTTACGAAAAGCTCTTTATCATCTTTTTAATAATTCAATATTGGACCCAACTGTTCATTACTTATACATATATAGCCTCTTTCCGTTGGAATCAAAAGGAAAAAATGTAGCCATTTTCAAGAACCTCTAAACACATAGCAAAAGACATAATAACAGTATTTGTTTATATATATAT